ATATATATATATATATATATATATATATATATATATATATATATATATATATATATATATATATATATATATATATATATATATATATATATATTAACAAAAGTTTATTGCTAGTGAACCATGCGTGCTCTAGCCCACGGTGTTCCGTAGGCCATGCGTGATTCGAAAGTTGGGTGCAACTATTCAGGTTTCCTTGCTAAGGCAATATTCCTCAAAACCCAGGATCCCACTATTTTCCATGTCTGCCATCTAGACCCACAAAAAATGCCTACTACTCACTTCGAATACTCTCGAATATCAATTACTATCAATTCTCGTATCACATCATTCACATGTATACTTTATATCCAATTCCCCCCAAAAGGAAAGAAGATAGAATAATTTTCTTTAATTAAATAAAGTTATTTAAATAAAATTATTTAAATATATTTTTCGAAGTTCGGAGTTGTTTAGTTTTCACTGCTTTCAACAGCGGCCGACTGAAGCCATTCAAATAACGAAGCTGTTGCTTGGAGAGCCGACGCTTTCCCTTCTTGCCTCAAAGGATTTTCGTCTTGTTTCCAAGTCATAAATGCCTCTTCAGTTATAACTTCTTCATCGTAGAGTGTGTTAAAAAATCGTGACAGCATATCTGAAAGAGGAGATAATACTATTTGAAGGCCACTCGGTGACCCAGGTCCTATTCCTACATTTTTGAGGTTCAGTTTTGACTTCATGCTCTCATCTGATTGGTTAATCGAACATATCAAACGCATTTGATTGGTTAATGGTCCTTTAATGGTAGCGGTAGTGGAAGTCAAATCTGAATTCCTCTATAATATACACTTCATGTCTACTCCCGAAAGAAATAGTTAGTTTTCCCTATGTTGAGGTTTGACAAAACAAACTATTCCCCGAGGGGACATGAATAAAACTCTTTAATGAACTGGTTTTAGCAATAAAAGAAGCAGCATTTCCTGACAGTGTTGGCTGTTGAGTATTTTTCTTCTCTGTTTATAGGATTGTGATTATTCCACTCACTCGCCATCGATTACATGAAGCGTGCTGCTTCGCTGCTCTCGGCAACAATAAATAAAGTTAGGCTCCAGTTACACGATACCGGATTTGCTTGTCCCATGTCTTAACACTTAAAATTGCGATAATATATGATAGAATAAAACGAAACCTGAACAGTGTATTTGAAGTTTCTTATACAGTACTATGAGTAGAGTGACCGATTCTGGAGATCTTGGAAGGATATATCCAGCATTACCATAAATAACCATATTTCAGTTTAGCTTATAGGTTTTCTGTTGTAGTAAACACTTGAACAATAAAAGATAAAGTTCTTACTAGATGTCCAGGGAAAAGTTGGACAACAGTTAAGAAATGGTATAGAGCTACCAGTGTAAGTAAAGTTATATTAAGGTTTCATACTATCAATCCCTACCTGCGGGTTTATTATATTTCACATATATTTCCTGGAGAGCAAACAATGCTTGAAGTTCCAAACTATTATCATTGTCCAGATATTTCCGCAATATATCTTTCCTGGCTTTTAGCTTATCCTGACAAAAATCTGGACCAACTTCTCGGTCTACAAATAAAACATGCAAATATTCAGCATTGACCTAGCATGCGGGCAGCCCCAATGCCCATACATATGGGGCTGCCCACAGGCTAGCATTTACCATAGTTAACAGAGTAATATATATGGTTTTGTAAATTGATGTAAATTCATTCATGTACTTTGTACGCCTATAGTAGCACCCAAAATCCACTTAAATTGTACCCTGTTACCTTTATTTATCACGCAGCTTTCAGCTACGGCTGTGACTAACTGACTTATAAATTCTGCTTCTTTCCTTTCTTCTTCTTTAAAATGTCTCTAAAGCACAACAAGCAAACAGTTAGTTAACATCGGATCTATTTGGGTACTTCCCTATCTTTCACCTATATAGGTGAACTGGGTTTGGTTCCTACAATATGCAGTGATTATAATTTCGCCTGCTATCTGTCGAATCTTTAGAAGACAGCTTCCATTCTGTCTTTGACTCAACCAAACAGTACATAATGTCTTCTGGTACTCCGGTGGTACACTGCTCAAATGTGCATCTACTTCAGGGAAAACAGTTCAGACCTAATGAGCTATCCAGTATAAATAAAATGAAGCTTACTTTAGTTTAATAGTTAATATCATTCCTCTCACCTCAATATAAGCAAATACAGAATCATTTTTAAATGGATCCGCACAAAGTAGTTGTAATAGTTTATCATTATTTTCATCGGGCAAAAAATTTAAATTCTAAAGAAAGAAGCAGAAATAATGATGACGAGGACTCCCAGAAACAGGTTTTACGCTAACTATTTTAACAAGCTAACAGAATGAGTCTAACTCATCTGCAAATTCTCACTTCATCTGAGGACAGATCCGGCTAAATTCTGTCCCAAAGTAAGATGATATGACGCAGCGTATCAAAGCATGACGCTTCCGATTTTATTACAACTTTTAGTCTGCGATAAGATAGATCATATGCAGACATGACGACTCGTTGCAATTTGGCTGTTTGTAGTAGCCAAAAATAGCGTGATGGTTTGACACAACAGATATGATTTCAGATTATATGTACTTTCAACAAATTGTCCATTCGAAATTGTCACATTCGAAATTGTCACACTTATTGTCATTCTGACTTTCAGCAGGAGCTGGGTAAAAAGCAACGCAACTGACTCCGGCTGACCAAAAAACACCGAATCTCCCGCAGAACTCCGGCCTAAATCCCAGCACTAAAAATGAACTTATGAGAATAAAGAAATATCTGAACAGGAATGTGAAAAGCATGATGCTAAATGACTTTATGTTAATACTTTTTTAACATAACATCACTTGATCTGCACCCGAAATTGCGTTTCAAGTTGCGACAAATTTTGACTCGTGCATAACATGGCCTTTCTTAGATGATGTGAAATTACCTTTCCACTCTCGCCAGTGGTAATCCATCTATCACTTGATGTTGGCTTGGAATGGGATCGCCATCCTGAGGAAAAATATTTTAATTATAATTACCTAAACGAATCTAAAATTTTTGTATTATTCTGACACTGCACTGTACAACGAAAAATTCATTTGCTCGAGCGGGATTCGAATTTTCATCTTCGGGTGTCTAGACCGATATCTTCGGGCTTCTAGAATAATATGAAACTAGTTTTATATTATTTTCTGAGGATGGTTCTGGAATATAGAACTGAAAAACTGCGCGTCCTCCAAGCGTCAAGTCGTCTCGAAAATACTTCGTGCACTTAAATAGGATAAAGCCTGTTTTCCACTTCAACCGTATCGGCAGTGTGGATTATAACGTTTTTGCTTACGTCTGACAAATGTCCGATCAACGAGACTGTTGCTCGGACATTGGCAAAGAATAGTCAGCCAACTATTTAAGAATTTTTGCGTGACAGGGCTACAGATCGACGTACCATTGCACGTGTTAAGGCAGGAAAAAGCTTGGCGTACGCCATCTAGCAACGTCCTCCGCGCCTTTACTTTGTTTGTGTTTCTTCGGGAAATAAAGGTATTTACTAATATAGCTACGCCTACGGCTTATAGAAATGAAACATCTTTTTGTAAGTAGTAAGTATTGTAAACGCTATGGTATAGTAGGTATAGCTAGATGCTTTTCAAACAGAACTTTTCACATAAACCACCTTCAATTTAAATGAACAGTGTGTATTTTATTTGATCGGACAAAATGTCCGTGCAGAATGAAATTGATCGGCCATTCGGTGTTTTGTTCGGCAAATAGCCGACCGTTATAGTCCACACTGCGTATCGGAACAAGTCATTAGTTCCACACTACCGCTCAGGAAACAAAGAAATACACTACGATTGAAGTGGAAAACTGGCTTAAGAGTTAAGATTCTTTACCAATCCCCGTTGACTCGGTTGAGGAGCCTGAAGATGTGAGTTCGAATCCTCCTCGAGACAAACATTTTCCGCTGTATTGAACTCAGTAGTGTCAGAATAATATGAAACTAGTTTGTATATAAGTTCTTTGTAAGTTTGCATGGCGATAAAACATATAATAGTTTTGTTTGTGGAAACACCACGTAAATTTACGTGGTGTTCCCACAAACAAAACTATTACAGTTTATATATATAAAAACAGCTTTTTCAAACCTCAAACTCTAAATTTACTTTGCAAACCTCAAACTCTAAATTTAAACCTTAAACTCTAAGCGTGCAAAGTATTATGGGAAGAGCATAATTTAAACAGTTTAGAAATCATGTATAGGGTCCATTCCTTAGAGACATGGTAAATATCTCCTTATGAGAATAATTCATTCACAATTAGCTGCAATATTCCACCTCGATTCCCGCGCGTGCGTCACGCAACCAGTTAGCACATCAAAGCGCCAGGGACGAGGCTGGCAATATTCAACTACTAAGCTTGAACCATGGCCGCCGTGACGTAAGGTGCAATTGAAGGGCCTATACCTGGTCTGCCTTCCTTCTTTTTATTATCGTTAGGAGGCCGATGGGCTGCCGATCTTTGCTTCTGCACATTCGCCATTTGTGCTTCCTTGTGAATTTGATGAATAGTTTTTGGAGTACAATCTTCTTCCCGGCGAGGAACCCACTTGTTTTGACGAAGTTCGACGACATCACGAAGCTTGAATATCACTCTTAATGAGATTTTCTTAGCAATGATAATCCTGTTGATCTGATCGAAGTATTGCTCAATTCGAGACTAAAATGAAGTTGTTTATATGATTAAAATGATTGCAAAACATCTAAATTGTTCTTCTTGGAAGAATAATGAAAGTCATCCTTATATATTGCATGACATACTAGATATAACTGATATAGCTCCAACAGCATTAGCTAGATCCCTTACTACCATGCACGACTACAACAGAAGGAAACTAAACTAACTTTCTCGCATGTTTTCGCTCGCTACCCTGGTTCAAGTCCATTCAAGTGAAGGGTTAATTGTATTACTCTGAAAAAGGTTTTCAGAATCCTTAATTGCGAAAATATCCTGCAATTTTTTTCAGCCAACTTCTAATGATATAATTTAAGTGATTTTGAGGCGAGTTTGGATTTTGAAAGGGATTTTGCGAATTCCCAGATATAAGTAAGAACTTTTCAAATTATAATATAAGGAAAGAGAACATTTTTAACGTTTCTATTAGTAGGACGAATAGGTTTAAAAATAGTTTTATACAGCATAATTCTACAATGTATTTTAGATAAAGTAAATATTTATTGTAAAGTTAGAAGCGTAATTCAACCCGTGGGTTGTAATGTTTTTAATTAATTAAACTATCTGTCTATCTAGTTTGTGGGATTTTTAGTGATTGGGAAGTTTTTGGATTTGGGATTTTCAGTAAGGACTTTTCAGAAATATTTTAAATGTATAATAAATTAAATTAATTATAATTAATTAATTAATTAATTAATTATAATTAATTAATTAATTAATTAATTAATTATCAATTATATATTATTAAATTTTTAATATTTTCATAAATATTTTTTTATTTTTGGATTGAAAGTTTTTGAATTACAAATTTTTATGGTCTAGGGTCTACACTTTGTAAGAAGGTTTTTCAAGGTAAAATTGAAACAGTGATAGCCATTCATCTTTGTTTTAAGTACCATTTTAATGTAACTTTGTAGTAAATGTAATGAAGGGGCAGGAGGGCTCTGATAGTCACACATTCGTTTCCAACAATCAATTCCAACCATACATAAAGTGAATTACCTCCCCTCTGTGGGAATCAAGATCTTTGCCAATGGTGAACAGTAACGTGCATATGCATTCCAAACTTTCTTCGTCGCCAGCACGCAGCAGTTTAAATATACAGTCATGCATAATGTTCTCTGTTAACAACTGAAATAAAGAGATTAAATTGGATATGGCAATAAAAGTTATGTTGGCCTAATTTGAGAGAATGTTTGCATTATTTACAAATCCTATTTTACGAAATTTTTTCCCAAACTAAAACAACAAGCTATTCGCCATCTTGTTGTATAATTAAAACTAAAGAAACAATATCAGTGGAAAGATAAACATAGCTGTGCTTTTATTCAGTGCAGTACAAAGGAGTAGAAAAATATGATTTAGCATTAAAAAGAACCGAAAAATACTTTATAAGATACAAAGTACTTTTACCTCGGTTGTGACGTCACGCATATCTGATATCTGACTATGAATATGCTTACATCTAAGATGGGGAAATGCATGGGGAAATGAAGGGCGTAACATCTTTTATACCAAGAAAGATAAAGGAAATATATAAGGTGTTGAAATATATTGAATCTTTCCTTCACGTGGGAGAAACTTAATTTTCATTGCTATTTCTTAAAAGCATGCCACAGCCTTTTGAATGATGGTTTGTAAGGTGCATTTCAGCCCTTACAATTGAAAAAAATAGGTACGCAGAGCGTACACAGCCTCGTACCCAGGCGCTAAAAATGGGCACACTACAGTGTTTTTATATAGATCAGTGGCTCGAGCGCGCGGGGGTGCTTGGGTTGCGTCCTCCCCAAGCACCCCCGCGCGCTCGCTCATCTTAGCCACTGATCTATATAAAAGTACTGTAGTGTGCCTATTTTTAGTTAATTGCGCCTGTGTACGAGGCTGGAGCGTACATGTGTTAGCCTCGGAAAGCTTGCCTAAACAAATTGCATGCAAAACAACAAGGCAGAAAGCGCATAGCAACATCAGGTCATGCTATGCAAGTTTTTGCATTAATATTAGCATAGCATGATCAGTTCCATGGCCAGGGACGCCGGAAAGGGTGGCGCAGGCGGGATTGCCCCCTTGCCCTTTAGTAAAGGGGGTAAAAGGGGGTAGGGGGCGGGCGAAAGTGCCCTTAAATAAAAATTTTAGCCCAAAAAATATGAGGTACAACAATTAAAAAGTATGAATTACGGGTGAAATGGACGTAATATTGAAATATACGTGAAATTTTCTGGAATATTGTGTCAAAAATTATGTTAAGTTTCAAAATTGTGTGCCCTTGTTTTGGTGAATTAAGGTTCCGGAAAAATTTTTCGGAAACGAAATATTAATTAGTGATTGCCCTTATGTCAACATTGCCCCCCCCCCTGTGCCCCCCCCCTCGCTCCTGCGTCCCTGGCCATGGCTAGCTTGCCGCTGAATATTCAGTGCTACAATGCATGTATATCATGTATATATATACGATAATACTTGAATGAAAGAATCCCCACGAGGCTACTGACCTTGATTTTGTCTCGGTGAATATTCCCCGATAATCACCTCGCCTTCGGCGAATAATTGCTAAATGTTGGCCGGTAGGTTTATTTCATATAAATGCTAACAATGGACATATCTGATATCTCAGCGGAGATATATTTTTACAGACCGTCTTACAGACTTACTGTACCTTGTACAAATTTAATCGGTTGATATGTTATTACATGCATAATACATGTAGCTGCCGGTAAGTTATATTAAATATGTGCAGGCAACAATCCACACTGGGTTGTTATAGGAATATCTTTAACACAACATTCCGCGTTTGTTTTAAAATGCGGCTTAAAAACATCATCCAAAAGGCTGAACTGTACCTTTAAGGAGTAAACTATAACTGCATAGCACTATCAGTTCTGCACTTTTTCCCCAAGAGGTATACAATACGAGTCAAACAGGAAGCATTCTTCTCACATACCATTAATGCAGTCACAGAGGTAAAACCAAGATGACAAATGGTGGACAAACAAATCAACACACCTTCAGTTTAAATAATTCTCCAATGAATCTAATATTTCCCAACACTCGTTTTTTGTTCTTCGCCAGGGCTTCATACATTTCTTCTTTTTTAGCCTTTCTCTTTTCCTCCTGTGAAAAACAAGACCACTCGATGTCAACTTAAATAGTTTATAATGGCAAGAAGTAAAGTTTCCTCAAGCAAAAGGCCAGGAGATAAGAAGAGAATAATAGAAACCCATTGACGGTTTAACGGTGATAAACGCTTTAATTAGTATTCAGTAGGTTATACTACTTCTCATCTGTGTGGGCGAACACATTCAACAAGAACGTCGCCAAACTGCAAAGTGTGCAGAACTTTGCTGCAGGAATATAGTTACTGGGATTGGGAAATGTAAATTTGACCATATACAGTAACCTCGGTGTTACGCCAACTGGATTGGCTACCTGTTAGTTATTGTATATGCTGCGTTACAAAAACGCACTCATAACATTCAAATGTTTAACGTTTGGCTCCATAATACCTTTATAAAGTAGATTTTCATCAAATGCGGCAAATCATCTGGATTGGCAGGGCAATGAAAGATTTTAAATGATAGAATGTAGGGTTATTTAAAAGTAGCTTGAACCAAGGCTTCCAGAGGGAATTGAATAGAATTTATAGACCTAAATTTTACAGATATTGTTCCAAAAATAAGAGTTTCATGCATGTTTTAACAGGAATTTGTCCGAAAATTTTTTTTTAACCCTTAATTTAACTGATTTATGTCCGGAAAAATTTTTTC